AAAGCAAGATAACACTGCAGGATGGATCTTTGGTGAAATATAAATTATTTTTTAATACACCCGTTACATCTGCAGTGTTTAAATGCTTACATATACACACAGTTACTGTCCCTCCACACATACGGACTCGGTTCTGCTTCTATGCCCCAGCTTTGTTTACTTTTTCCCGCCGAGGCTTCTAGACTTCTGATTGGCCAACATTTCTGCACGGTTAGGAATATAGCGCCACCTGCTGCTTTGGCATTCTGCAGTTCCTATTTGCGGCGGAAACGCGTAATAGCCCTTGGCCCACTCTGCTTCAGGTCGTACAGCGGTTGTTGTTCGTGGATAACCTTGTATGTGTGGAGACGGGAAAGAGTGGCATTATCTTTTTTAAAACGAAAACGGGAAAATCTCGTTTCTCAGAAATACCTCGTGTACGTGTGGACATAGCCAAGAGGGATTTCAGTCCACAGCGCGAGCAGGATATTCACATTTGTAGACCGAGCATATTACACTTTAGGGAGAATAACATAAACATTTTACTGGGTGACACAACATCAATTATAGAGTATCAAAGCTTTTAGTGTGCTACGGATAGAATACTTGCAGAATATGTTTTGAATTAGTCTAAATGTCAGAGTCTAAAGAGAGACAGGCCCTTCTGGTATTTGCTTAATCAGCTTCTCATCAAAGGTTAGCGAGTACGATGGTCGCACTAACGTTTATTGGTAATTCAATACGCAAAGAGCTCCAGCGATTCCATTCGAGGCCCTGGAAGAAGCTTCTGATTAGGTTTCGTAGAGTCCAGTGGAGAGTGCAGTTAGGAAGGTGAACTGGCCGCTTGGCACAGCTGGTGGGATGCATATAGAGGCAAACACACAGCGAGCTCCTCGTTCTACTGGACACTGTGGGTATACATCCCAATGAGATGTCAACCAAAACCACTCAGGGAACAGAATGTGGGCAGCTCCAATAAGCTGGTAGAGTAGGCCGTGGACCAGGATTGTGAAACAACTGTTGTGTGCCATTGCACATTAAGCAATAACAGCACGACGTGCTCGTCTTAACATCTTAAAGGTTTAACAAATAGTGTTTTTAGGAGATTTAACATCAATGCTAAGAGAAATATAACATTTGAAGTTCGTGTCTCTAGATGCTTACAAATTAAGCAAGATAGGCGTTTTGTATTCTGGAGAGAGTGGTGCTAGAAATACTGGTCATATATTCTGATGACTTGTCGAAGCACAAAACGTGAGAGAGAGAGCAGAACCAGAGATGGAACAAGAGCAGGTAGAGACACAGCGCCTATAAGGTATTACAGTGCTGAACCAGCATGGCGTTTGCCAAAAGTATCGAGCGATAGTACAGGTCCTCATGTGTCTTGTACCTAGTGTTTCTTTGATTAGGGTTTTCGGGTGGTACTTTTTCAGGAATCAGGTCACATTTATTAAGTTCTGGCAGCTGGTCGAAAGGAAGTCCGATTTTGACTTGTTCACAACAAGGCTAAATAATTATATAAACTTTTCTCAATCTAAATATTGTACTTTGGTAGAATTAAAAAATAAGTGTAGTGCAGGTCTATGATGATTTTTAGTGCTACTATCATCTAGTTCTGATTCTGGTTCTGTCTTGGTTAAGTCCTCAGTAGTCCTGATTTTGAACTGTTGTAGTCCTGTTTTAATTCTGGATCAGTTCTGGGTCTGGTTGAATTGGGGTTTAGTCCTCGTGTCTTGATAAGCGATGTGTTGCGCATTACGTATCTGCCATGTGTAAATTTCTTATAGCTCTTTTCAACTCAAAGGTTACTTATATTCTACCCAAACATAACTACTTTGGGCTAAGCCGGTTTAATGCTCGCGCGAGAAGTATAAGTCCGGCTCGTACTCCGAAGCGTGCGGTCGCTGGATTGGGACACAGCCTGAGAGCTCCTCGATCCCGGATCGTGAGACTGCCCTTCAGTTGTCCAGCTTGCTACAGTGAAGTTAATCGTACCAACGGCTGCCTCTGTTATTTCCCGGCAGGAGTACGGAAGAAGACACGGCACGGGAGTCAGGGGCGCGCACGTTGATTTATTGCGTAATATTTACATCACTGTAAATAAACGCAACTGCATTCATCGCACACAGTCCCGCGTTTTGGGCCCTATTTCCCCCACATCGCCACGGTCTGCCAGCGCAACCGTGACAGATAACTTCAAAGTCCTGCAAATGTAAAACTTTCAAAAGATCACAGCAGCTGAGGACATGTCGCTGTTGTATCGGGATTGTTTAACATTATTTAAAAGTAGGAATTTCAAAAATATCAACAAAGGGAAATTTCACACAGAAAAAGGGTAAAAAAAAAAGCTATAAATCAACAACTTTGAAATAACCATGGTGGCGTTTGGAGTACACATTGCTGAGTTTACAAGGTGCATAAAGGTATCAAGCATTTCCTACCGTCGTCCGCACTTTCAAACGTACACCGCCATGTAGAGCCAGGGGGGGATTCTTATTAAAAGGTACAGCTGTCCGCGTCGGACACCTCCGGGATGGACTTTTCCAGAAATGACAGCGTGTCTGATCCCATTGCGACAGGCTGTCCACTCCTCTCTTAAAGTTTGATTTATCTGACTGCTTTGTTTCGCTTAATGTGCCTTATAATCCCGTGCACCTTATAGATAAGATAAGATACCTTTATTAGTCCCACGAGTGGGAAATTTCATTATGGTCTGAAAAATACGTATTTGACTTTTTTATTTGGCACACTGCAGTTTAATGTTGCAAAGCTCCTCTTTTTAACTTCAGTGGATATTATACATTGTTATGCTCAGGATATGTCAGCCCGTTTCTACTGGAAATGCCTTTTGGTTAAACTGTCAGCAAGGAATTTGCATTCGCACTGTTAAATTTTTATATAGCTTTAATGCGCATGAAAAACAGTTGCTTGTTTAAGTGAAAAGAAATGGATGATGATGATAGAGTTGTGTTTTGTCTCGCGTCAATTATATCGTCGGTTATATCGTTATCGCAAATTTTCAAATATATATCGTGATAAATATTTTTGACCATATCGCCCTGCTCTAGTTCAGAAGGAGAGATTCTGAAGTGTGAATTGAAAAACTGGTAATTACAAGAATGGAAAGGCAAATAGAGATCACAAAACGTCCACAGTTCCTTCCAGATCCACATGAACACAGTGAACAAATTCAGTTTTTAATTTCTTCACAACATGCAGCCAATACACACACAGAAATCCCAGAAACGGCTGCAGCCGTCGCAGACTGCGACAGTCTACGGTGCAGTGCAGCAGAAGTCTGTGTTTGAGAATCTGGGACTGAAAATGAGCTCTGAAGCTCTTAATGTTGACTTAATGCAGAGCAGCACAAACACACTCCCTCCCTCACCACCTCACAGGGTCACACTGATCGTTGTAACAACCATCAACACACGCTGAGTCCGTCCATTTCATATGCACCGGCAGACACAACCCACTCAGGCTGCTTTCGTTTAGTGTTTGGAGATGTCACTCCTGTCGATGGCTGGGCGACTCATTGCACCTGAGACTCACACAGATTTACAGTGTTTCAACAAAACAGAAAAAAAACAACCTTGTGTCTTGGACGTGGAGCATAAAGTTAGGTATGTCCTCCCTACACGTGGCCAACACATATTCAAGCATATCCAAAACACACTTCACATTCCCCGTGCTGAGCCACTCTGGCAGCTAAATGAAAGCGTCTAATGCTGTTTCTCGTGTTTGTGCTGCTGGACTTGAGTAAAACTGGGTTGTTTCACATGAACTTGATGCTCCAAAGTAACACACTGCAGTTCTTCTCAGTTGCCGTACACCAGAAAACTGCTTTTTCTATTAAGAAATCTTTCTTGTAAAAGACAAACTGTGAGAAAAATGTCACAACCTGCCTTGAAGTTGCCCATTTTGTCAAAACACCTTCAGCAATCTTAAAGAAAATCACTTCAATAAGCAGCAACTACAGCAATGAAGAAGAAATTTGGCTTTTGGCATTTTAACTTGATAAAGAAATAAAAACTTTGCTGATCTATTTGGTCTTTGACTTTCTGTTTATGTAATAAAGTACTACCACACATAAAGTTCTCGCATTAGGTCTGAGTCGAGGTTTGGCAGCTGCCATGTCTTTTCTGCTAAAGTTAGAAGTGATCATGTTTGAAGAGCACAGTTATGAAAGCTCAGCTGTTGCAACTTGACTTCTGTTTCAAAAAATCTGTAGACGTACGGAGTGTGTTTCAAAAAAGTTAAAAATGGACATCAGTGACTTGACCCTGCATTCTATCTGAAGGCCACCAGATGGCGATAGCCATGATAGCAAAAAGGCTCGTGGTCCTATGGAAGATTGTGGGCAGACAGCTTTCTTAGTTGACCTCTGTAAACACTTTACTGCTGAGTTTATGGTCTCAGTCACTGGTTTCAGTTTGCACTGAATGACGAATAAAGTCTGTTTCATAAATCTGGATCACGCTGTTTTAAAACTGACGAGCTCACCGGACAACAAGGAGTCACACCCTTCCCATCACATCTGATTTTTTTTATACCAAGACAGTAACAGTGAAAATGCTTCACGACGAGACTTCACAGACATGTCAACAGTAGCTACATCCATCTTTTTATACAGTCGGCCGCCTTATGTTTAAACCTTCTGTGTGCGTGGAGTGGCCAACCAGAACAAAGTGGGCTTAAAGGGAGGTTACCTAAAGCAGCTTGTTTCATAACAGAGTAAATTGAGGCAGATAAATCTGGATTAATTTGAACTACAATAATAAATATTTTGGATAAAATATGGAGGTGGGACCTATATCAGAATAGGTCCCCGTTAAACATGAAAATCTAATTTTCTGTTTGTCAAAATGACTTCATTTTGATACCACCAACCACTAAGTATCATAAAACACCATAACTTGGGAAAACAAAACTCATATCTACATGCATGAGTTCTTATTTTTATAGCACCATACAGTCCACACAGACATCAGCGGTCGGTGTAGTTACAGCAGCGTACTCACTTTCTGTCCTGGCCGAGGTCCCGTCTTCTCCTGAGCGTTTGGGCCGATCATACACAAAACCCCAACACATGTCAGCCCCGCACAGGACTGACAGGGTCCACACAAGCTGAGGACACAAAGTACCGACATCAGTCATTCATACAGTCTACAGGCTGCATCTTCCAGTGGTGCTCAAGCTGGGATGTAAGAGTTACTCTTCTGCTACAGATATTCATGGCAGCCTACATTCACACTCCACCTGCAGTGCTCCGCCTGAGAGCTTAGTGAAAGGGTCATGAGGTTTATTCATCAGCGAGCAAACACAGTGCAGAGGAACAGCAACATGTCACGTATTTGACTTCAAGCACTTTTCATTTGCAAACCCCGTTTTCACCATAGACTGACTTGTTTGCACTGGCTGCTCATAAACGAGCTTCAGAAGTCTGTGATGCATGAAAGCTTTATTTGAGCTGGTGTAACACAAACTGCAGGTTTCCCCCGTGACCTGCGAACACCGCGGGGTGCTGAGCTCAAAGTGGAGAGAGACCACCCCTCAGCTGCATCACAATCGCCTGATAGTTTGACAGATCTGTGACCTTTCGGAAATGACAGAAGAGTCCACAATTGTTCTGCAAATGCTCATCAGCAGGGAGGACACGGGGGTGTAGAGGTTCCACGCAGAATAACGCAAACTACCAAGAAACACGCGGTCTAACGCGTCACTGCACGGGGATTTACGCACAAAACATGCAGATTTTTCGGAAGTCAGCTGCAGTTAAAACTCTTGCACACGGACTCTTACCAGTTTGTGCAGCAACATGTTCCTCTGTGCGTCCTCGGTGTTGCACCGCGCTGTAGGTCCGTGAGTGACTGATGCTGACTCTCCACACCGAAGGACCACCGGAGAGGAGGACCGTTGAAGAGGAACAGCAGCGAGGGAGGGGGAGGTGACTGAAAGGAGCGGACAGGATTCTGATTGGTGCAGCTGTGGAGGAGGGCTCCGGGCTGAGACATGAAACGTCTCCACAGCCACTGAGCTGCGGTTAGCTCCGACTGAGAGTATTTACTCACAGGACAGTAAGGTGCTTAAGAAACACGACAATTATTTTTATTTTTTACAGTGTATCAATAATCTCTATCTCTTGGCTGCCGACACTCGTCTATAGCCAAACCGCTTCTGTAAAAGTGAAACTTGACTAAAGTTCGGGCCCTGAAACTGATGCTGGGTCAGTTCCAAGATTTTTACTTGAAATTAGAAATGAATAAAATATACGCCGAAGCCTAAATTTAACCAAAAGTTCATTTATTAATTAATTTATGTTGTCGCGGTTCGAGTTTTGAGGAAGAGACATACGACTGAAAGTCCATAGTGGGTCAACACAAATGATTTTATTAAAACACACACATGTGGTGAAAATGGGGTCTGCGAAACATCAGGCTCCATCTCCCGCCTGACAATAGGTGGGTGTGATATTTATACTTATGATGACCAGTAACTCCGTCACCGCAGATGAAAAACAACATGCCTGTTCCAGTAATTCTATGTCAGATATTCTTAAACAGAACAGTTCCTCTCTCAGTTCCTCCACCGCCTCCCAGATGCATCCTGTTATTACACTTTTCTAGACTTAGACAACACTTGCAATCAGTTTACCCAGACAGGCTATGTGTCTGTGTCGTTAATCTAAGTGCATGATCTCCCTCTAGGTCATCTGTTACCAGGCAAACTCCAGTGCAGCAGGCTGCTAAATGCACACAGGCAACATGTAGTAAATTATACTGTAAACATGTAGGCAACCTTTCAATAGCTGAACTTTGCTCCATTGATCGGCCAGACATCGCGCTGCCCGTAGCTTCAAACCATTAATTAACTTAACCGAGCTTCAACCCTTTAATTATGCAATATGTGTATAACATGATTACAGTTGCACCTGCAATGAAAGATTATTTGTGCTTATGCTAACACCTGAAATACAGACTTTAATATAACCTCACCAGTTTCAATAAATGTGTCAATGAAATGATAACAATGATAAATCATAAATGATGCAACAATAATAATAAGGATTATGAATAGTGACAGTAAAATAATATTTCATCTCGACATGTCAACACTCGCTTCAAGGGTGTTTACATGCAGTGAGGTATGAGGGCTTACGTCCATCCTTGTCGAAAGACTGCCTTTTCAGAGCATCTTTTGCTCACCTTCCAAAGATAGCTGAACGCAGTCTCTTAATATTTTTAATAGTTAGTTTCCCTTTAAATGGGAGAGATGCATTGCAGATCCTACATATATTACCAGAAAAAAAAAAGGCGTCATTATGTTTAAAGTAACTGATTTGCATGTTATCCATCCATCCATGCCATCCATCTTATCCGCTTTATCCGGGCCGGGTCGGCCGACATGCCTGGGAGCGAAGATGGGGCAGCCTTAAGCAAAGAGGCACCAGACTCCGCTCTCCCCAGCCAACCTGCCTCCAGCTTATCTCTGGGGGAACACCAAGGCGTTCCCAGGCGTCGCCGAGAGAAATCACAATAGCTATCTCTCCAGCGTGTCCTGGGTCTGCCCCGGGGCCTCCTCCCGGTGGGACATGCCTGGAACACCTCACCCAGGGGCATCCTTGTCAGATGCCCGAACCACCTCAGCTGGCTCCTTTCGATGTGGAGCAGCAGCGGCTCTACTCTGAGCCCCTCCCGGATGGCCGAACTTCTCACCCTATCTCTAAGGGAGAGGCCAGCCACCCTTCGGAGGAAGCTCATTTCTGCCGCTTGTATCCGCGATCTCGTTCTTTCGGTCACTACCCACAGCTCGTGGCCATAGGTGAGGGTAGGGACGTAGATCGACCGGTAAATTGAGAGCTTCGCTTTTACACTCAGCTCCCTCTTCACCACGACGGACCGGTGCAGCGTCCGCATTACTGCAGCCGCAGCCCCAATCCGTCTGTCGATCTCCGGCTCCCTTCTCCCATCACTCGCGAACAAGACCCCGAGATACTTGAACTCCTCCACTTGGGGCAGGAACTCATGTTTGCATGTCATTGAGTGAAATAAGTATTTGGTCCTCCGGCAAAACAACACTAACAACACAAACAACACTAACAACACTAACAACTCTTATTGGCAAGCACAGGTTTGCACACATCTCAGGGGGGATTTTGTTCCACTCTACAGAAAATCTTAATCCTTTAGGTTTCTTGGCTGCTGCTTGGCAACTTCAATTCAGTTTTATTTATATAGCACCAAATCACAGCAACAGTTGCTTCAAGGTGCTTTATGTTGTAATGTAAAGACCCCACAGTGCTACAAAGAAAACCCCCAACAGACGAGCCCCTTCGAGCGAGCACATGACTTGAACTCAAAGCTTCCCTCTACAATTTTCTGCAGGACTGAGATCTGGAGAGTCTGGAGCCACTCCGTGACCTTAATGTGCTTCTTTGACCACTCGGAAATATTTTTATATCACTGCTAAGCTGGAAGAACCATTCAAGGCCCATCTTCAGTGTTCTGGCTAAGGGACCGTGGTTTTACGATACACAAGTCCCATCTCTTATCCCCTACAGGGCAACATGAAGTTGTCCTGTGTCATTAACAGAGAAACAGTCTCGAAGCGTAATGTTTCCACCTCCATGCTTTACTGCTGAGGTGGTGTTTTTGGGATATACTCAGCATTTCTGTTCCTCCAAACACGATGATGCCAAAGAGGTCTGTTTGGTTTCATGTTCCCACAACACTTTCTCCTCTGAATCACATTGTCACGGTCCTGGGTCGTTTCACCCAGCGTTTTGTGTTTAGTATTATTCTTTTATGTTCTAGTTTATTCTGATGTTGGTATCCTGTGTCCTCCCCCGGTGCTCTGTTCGTGTCCCTGACTTTGTGATTGTCCTGTTTTACTCTGAGGGTCTGTCTCTGTTGTGTCTAATCAGGTTCAGCTGTGTCCTCCTTCAGTGTGTCATTCCCCTCTCTCTCCCTGCATATTATGATTTCAGCTTTACTAGTTTTTTCCAGTTCAGGTTTATCTTAGTTCCTGTCCTCGCCACCTCCGTTGTATTATCTTTATCTGTATTATCGCCTCATGTAAATCAAAGCTCACCCCTCACGTCTATGTCAGTCCCTGCGTTTCGGTCCTTTTTTTCACAACACCGTACGACTGCTGCTGCAGCTGCGACACACGTTCACTGGCGAACGTAAGATGAGCCTGCGCACCTGCCTCCTCAACAAGCTCCTCTGGTGCAGTTAGTCTGATTCACCACATTTCTCATGATCGTCCTCACACGAGGCAAGATCTTGTAGAAAGCCCCAGACCGAGGCCGATTGATGGTCACTTAACATTTCTTCCATTTCTGAATAACTGCTCCATTATTATGTCAGTCATCTCACCTGCTCATCGAGCTTTTTTGCTGATGGCATCGTAGCTCATTTCAGCCTCCTGCAGGTCTACGATCTTATCCCGACCTCCAGCTCTTTGGTCCTACCGACGGTGGAGGAGAGGTTGGAATGGCAGAAACTGACTGGACTGGTGCCTTATACACATATCAAGCTGAGATCGGGAATAGCTCTAAGTGATTGCTTGTAATGTGTGTGCAACACAGGCGCACAGACCTGGGGAGGAACAAATCCTTATTTCACTCAGTGACATGCAAAACAGTTCAGAACAAAGTCTTTTTTCTTGATGCTTGGCTGATATTCTGGCTCCATTCAAATAAAACTACAATAAAAAATTACACTGATCTCTTACAAAAGTTCATCTTGTAGTTGGTACGCTCTACATTGTGCTGCAGTCCATTTGCATTTTACAGGTTTTGGACTCGTACAACTGTCATTAACTCAATGAAAACACTACAATCCCATCAAGGGAATTTCCAACCTCCTGACAGGCTGAGGAGGAGGCTTCCCACAAACATTCACATGTACACAACGAGGAAAGAACGGCAACATTTGAAGAGTGACACAATCTTTTTCTTTTATTGTTGGATTTCGGCATGGTGAGGTGAACCAGAAGATACAAAAACCGTTTTTGGTGACAGAGGGCCGGTGCTCAGCTGTTTATCTAAATGCTGAATGACTTCTGTTCTTCTCATTGGTTAAAACCACCTAATCAAAGCTAAGACATGATGCCAGAGTAAACCCAGCCACGAACGCTGTTTAATGCAGTTACAACGTCTGTGGATACCAAAACATATGCAATTAGGAAGCCAAGTATAAAACACACACGCGCGCACACTACTCGAGTGTCAGTGGTGCAGTGAAATCCATCAGTTTAATGTCTCTGCACGCCGTCCATGCAGAATCCACAACACGAGCCGTCACTTCTCCCCTCAGCAGACGCTGAATGCTGGGATTGAGCTGTGGGGTGAGGCTGTTTGTGGAGAGAGGTGTGTGTGGTTGCACGCCCCACACAGCCTGGAAGTGGTGTACGTGTGTGTGGTGTAAGGACACAGGGAGGTCTCGGGAGGGTTTACCTGGATGACATCACAGCCTCAGTGGAAGTTTCCCTGGTGTCTGTGCCGAGGACTTCGGTTCTGAGGCTTACACTGCAACAGCAGAGTTCCTGTTCATAATACTACTGAGGAATCAATGTTGAGTCCAGACATGGAAGCAACGGAGGCAAGTGTGCTGTTGCATGCCACATGCAAGCCGTTAACCCAGCCGGCGCCAACAGCAGCTGGAGAGCGCCAACCTCTGGACGCTCAGTCGGACAGAGAGGGCGAGCGCAGCGACCTGCCGCTGGCCGGGCTGTTGCTGTAGGTGTGCGAGTTGTCCCGGTCTCGGTCCTTCTCCTTGTCCTTGCTCTCATGTTTGTGCTTGTGCTTGTGCTTGTGCTTATGCTTCTTCTTCTTCTTCTTATGCTCATGGTGGTGGTGGTGGTGATGGTGGCCGTGGTCGCCTCCATGCTTAGAGGATGAGGAGGTGGTCTCTTTGGGGAAAGATGGCACGGGTGTGGCAGGCATGGACAGCAGAGCCTGTTCAACAGATGATGGCTCTTTACCTGAGATGAGAAAGACAAGTGTCAGATTTAAAGCTGGGGTGTGTCAAAGGCCTGTTCGTTGCCACGCTCTGATAGCTGGCTACCTTTCTTTGGTCAGGTAGAGCCACTCGTGCATCACTAGCAATACAGCGAAAAGCAGGTTTCTTTTAAAAACAGTGCAGTCAGGCAAACGTGATAACCACCACACGCCAGAAACTGCTGTCGGTCTTACGTGCTGCACAATAATTTTTAGTGTTTACTGTTATATTCACATAGATGATGTTGTTTATTATGTTGCTCTTTTTTTTGCTCGTTTTCTCTTTTTTCTTTCTCAGCAGCTGATCCAGGTGATCGATATTTGTGTTTTTTGTCAGTTTGTTTTGTTTTTTGCCCTTTATCACCGTCCCTCTTCCCCGCTCTTTTCCCTCTTTCTTTCTCCCAGTCATGTCTGTCAAACAGACCAATAGAGACCAATACAGCGAGGCTGGGATGGTCCATTTGGTAAAGTAAATCCGGCATCTTTCTTCGCCTTTAGACAATAATTCTGATGACAAAAGAACCAAACGGGAAAAAAGAAGAGGAAGAAAAACGTGCAGTCAGTGCTGTGTGCATAGCCCCAAATACACAACAGTGCTTTGACAGTTTTCCTACTGCCGCCATCTTTGGTAACTCGAGGCTGCTGTGGCTGCTTCAACTTCTGAGTTGGAAATCTGAGTTGAGTTACCAGTTTAAAATTCTGACTGGGAACCTGCAAATATTGACCTCATTTGTTACTCACTCCAAGTTTATTTGCAGAGCAAGTTTACTTTCTACAGAAACCCAAAAAGGTCAGGTTTCTGCAGGTTTCTATTCCCTGGCTGGACTCAACCCAAACCAGTGGCCCGAGCTCCCCTTTAGGTTCAGATTAAGGCTCTTCAGCCATCAGTGGATGTGTTTAATAATGCCCCAGATGTCCTGTCGAGGTGGCTCTTCTATGTTCTGCCATGTGTTTATGGAGCGGCTGTTTGGTTCCTCCAGTGTAGAGGGATGAACAGTGAAGGCTTCTACTGCTTGGGTTTGGATTTTGACCCAGGTATCATCCATGTAGCTGTACCAGTGGTTAGGCTCTGTCCCTTTGAAGAGCCCAGAGCTTCACTTTCCACTTCCTCCTTGTGAAGCTTGGCTACAATGGGTGCTACTGGAGATCCTGTGGCACAGGCATGTTTTTATCTGGATTCAGCATAACGTTGCAGACCTTGTTGGAGAAGTTAGTGGAGTGTTTGATGTGATGGGGTGTGTTGCCCACAAGTGAAGCTAGGCTGGTGTTTGCAGAAAGTTGTAGGTGGCTGAGTTTATATTGCTAACGATGGCTCTGAGTGGAACTCCACAAGGGTTGAAATACCTGGTACTCTTCACCGTTTTAGAAATAACGAAGCCTCGTGGATGCGAGGGGAAACGTCTTCAAGACATTTAAGGAAGTCCAGTCACTCTTTCCAAGCGCCTTAGCCTCCTATTCACTTTGTGTTTATACACCACTGCATTTATAATCATTAGTTATTATTAATCGCCCTCACCCCCGACCAGCTGAGGTACTGGTGCGCCTCGCTGAGCCTGGTTTTGCTGGTTTCTTCTTGTTGTCAAGTGCTTGCTTGTAGGATGTGACGTGAATGTAATGTCCTCTACAGTGGTGTGTGTGTGTGTTCCTGTCTAGCTATCTTTGTGAGGACCAAAATCTGCATTCTGCTATACTTGTGAGAACCAACAGTCACTTGTGAGGACACACAACCCGGGCTGCACAAGTTTGAAGCCTTTTTGAGGCTCAAAATGTGGTTTTAGTGTCAGAGTCACAATTAGGTTATGTTTAGGTTTAGGGTAAGGGTTAGGCTGTGTGTGTGTGTGTGTGTGTGTGTGTGTGTGTGTGTGTGTACCAGGTGTAGAAGGTCTCTCCAGCAGATTTAGGTGATGGTGAATGAAGGCCTGACTGTCATGAACAGTTTCCATGTCAATGTCTTCATCTTCCATAGTGTTGAACTACAACAGAGCAGAAGTTAATTAGAGCTAGTGAATCGTTCAGTTTCAATGAAAGCAGTTTTTATGGATCATAATGCTTTTGTCAGCCACTATAAAGAGGAGCCGTTTCTTAACGTGTTATTCCAGATTTCAGTGGAACAGCCCATCGAGTATAAACTGCACAACAGTTTTGTTTAACAGACTTGACATGTTGCAAAGTTTTACTGTGAACAGAGACATTGTTAAGCAGTTTTGTTTTTCAGATTTGGTGGACAGCTTAACAGAGGTATAAAGCATCAGCAGTTGTCCAGCTGATCTGAAGTTACTACGGCTACAGTAGTGATGGCTTCTTGTTTAAATGTCCTGCATCACCACTATCACCTGCCGTCACCATCAAGAGACGTTGGTGTTCGGTGCAGATTATACTGTTCTTTTCTGTTTAGAGTTTTAAAAATATGGCTGATGAATTTTCCTTTAGTGTGTCATTAGCGTCTTACTCTGATCTTGTAGCGTGCTCCCCTTCCATCATCATCCTGCTGCTGCAGTACCTGTCCTGGCTCTGGAGGAGATCCCAGTGGGGTGTCAGCCTTCCTCTTCAGGCCCTGAGGGGGCTGGCCTACGCCACACACACCCAGTGAGACAGGATCTGGCTCGTCGTCCACCTGACAGACACAAAGAAAGAAATCAGAATGAGCAGCAGCTCCAGCTCTGACAGCAGGACAGGGCAGTAAAGTAGCTACAGCAATAGAATACACACTTTATTAGAGAACTGTTATAATTGCTATTAACATTTAGGCTAAAACAGCTCACCAAGTATCACAAATAGCAAATCCAGCTACACAAGGACTTGAAACTTGGTTGAAAATGAGCAGTTATGATTAGATTGAAGCATCTATGGGCCTCTGCCTGTGCATACATACCTAGCTCACATTACTGTTACAGTCCACGTGTTTTTCAACACTGCCACTGTCCATCCAACAGTACGTGACTACAACAAGTACAGCTGAGTGGGAGCCAAGCAGTCCTACAATGCTACCACGTCAGGGCTTTAGTGCTAACTGCTTTGGCTGATGCTAGCTTGCACACAGAGGTTGAGCATTTGAAATGTGGCTCCAGTTCACTTTAGCCCTGCAGAGGCGATTTTGGAGTGTGAGGCTTTTATTTAAAAAGATTAACACCATCTTAAAATGTAACATGTGCACGTTTCGCCATACTCGCTTTTCCAATGGTCATTTTAAGGTGTGGGGCCAACGTGTAGGTAGAAAAACTGGGGTTAAGGGCAGTGAAGAGGACCGAGTCCTAAAATTCTGGGCACTCATGTTAAACAGAGTCATGACACACTTTACATGGTTTCAATCATATCTTTGAGAACCTGCAGACTTCTGAGTGTGCGCTGCAGTTAGCGTGTGTAATGGCGTGGTTTAATCAACCGCCGCAGAGATTTTGATCATGAACAAACAAGCAGAAGGCTGTTCTGTTTGGTGATTCTGGCTGACGCAGTGACGATGGGGTACAGCCAAATACTGCTGGCAGCATTATGCTGTAGTAGCCATAATTACACAGGGTCCAACCAAAAATAATACCGCTTTTATGAGGCAGCTTCTACGTGTGCGCCGTGTGAACGTTTCAGTGTGGCACACGTAAATCAAAAACGACTGAAGGAAAAGAAACGACCACCGAGCAGTTAGTTGCTGACATCACCGCTGGAGTTAAAAACGAGTGAAACCTGACACGATAACTCATCACACCGTCGTAAGGCTGCTGGAGACACTTAAACCGCCAACATTTACTCCGCTCCAAGTTCAACTTAAGTTCTCAGGTTGGTCTTTGGTATAAACTCCTCGTCGTCTGTTTGGGAGCCATGCTTCAGAATATTCACTCACTCTCATCCTTAAGAAACCAGTGTGCAGTGACCCGAGGTTTGTCACGCTGTGTGTTATCCTGCTGGAAACAGCTGTCAGAACATGGTACATAAAGACAGTGTGGGCATAAAGGATTTGGACATGGTCAGCAACAATACTCGAGTACGCTTGGGTGTTGAAACGATGCTCAGCTGAAGAAAGTGCCTGTCCCGTGGTTATAAAGCAGGATGGATCCATGTTTTCTGATCCTACTATCTAACTGTCAAAGCAGAAACTCAAACCAAGCAACATTCCTCCAGTTCATCGGGGATCTGCTGTAGAGGATTACAGTCTGATCAAACGGTGCGAGCGCTGAGCAACAGCTGCTTGGTTTAGGGGTCTGACAGAAAACTGTCCAGTCAGACACGTGGAAGTGGGAAGTTATTTATCGCCGTCTTTTATCAACCAGACCAAAAGTGATCGGTTTCATGTCGTTGTGGTGATGAGAGGATTATAAACTGCAGTTATTATGCTTGATAGAAATAGGTCTTCACAGCCAACATGGAATAATAAACAAACTCTGAATAAGCAGCAACGAAGTCTTTAAATATGATCTGGAAAACACCGTATATGGACCAGTAAACTACTTTTCCTGAGATCCCTGAAAGTACAAGAACCCACAGTCCTCCTGCATGCTCACTGAGTGGGGGTAAAGGCAGCTTGTGGAGACGCCCTGGTGGCTCCAGCCTTCATGTCATACTGAGGATTTCGGCTAAAAACACAATCCAGTCTCAGTTTGCTGTTCTTAGCAGCCAGTGTGTCCTTTGCTGCTGTCGCCCATCTGCTTCAAGCTGTGACATGTTCTGTGTTCACAGACGACCAGGTGGGATATCTGCATTAACAAGCAGTTGAACTGATGTACATAATAAAGTGGGGAGTGAGGATCCAGCTTTCGAGGTGAAATACTTGATGGTTTTTACTTCCTGTTAGCTTCTTGGTAGCTGTGTAGCAGCTAGAATCCTGGGTTTGACTCCACTGGCCAGCCGAGGCCTTCCTGTGTGGAGTTTGCATGTTCTCTGGTTCCTGGGTGGGTTCTCACCAGACACTCCAGCTTCCGCCCACAGTCCAAAGACAAGGATGCTAGGCTAACTGGTGACTTGACTGTGGTTGTCTGTCGGCCCTATGATAGGCTACAACCTGTCCAGAGTCTGCATCGCCTTTCGCACCATGACGGCGTGGACGGGTGGAGTTTTGCTTTTAAAAACAACAACATTGGCAATGAAGTGACTGCCCAACACTTACTGTTGCATAGCTCATGCCCACACCGTGGATGCCTATGCTGGCAGGCGTGTCCATAACAGCACCGACTCCCAGCTCAGGCTTGATGGTGGGATTAAGTACTGCTTTCTTCTCCTTCAGGTTGAGTACCAGGCCCAGTTCTGGCAGCGGAAGGCACGAGGGCCGAGTCAGACCAAACAACATGTAGTAGAGATTGACAGCATCGCAGCGCAGCCGCCAGTCATGGGACGTACCTGAGAAAGAAGAGGATATATTACATCTCCTGAGCGTGCTGTCGTACTCTCTAAGACGGCAGCTTTGAGTGCAGTCGTTTGGAAATCTACAAGCATGTTAAGTTTTTTTCAACGAGTACATGCCCGCATTGAATCCTAAGCTGCATACTGCTCGACCACACGCTTTATTTGACATCCCCGGAGAGACAATCCCAACACTACTAAATACAGATAATAGGCTCTCAGTGACAGCAAGCCTGAATGTCTCATTATGTGAGTCATTTGAGTAGTTTGGATTTGGCATGAAGTAAACTCCAAATCTTGCTGAAGCCAGCAAACCAAAGGCCAGAGGCTGGCCTGTGGTTTTAGAAGATGATTGAAAAAACGACTAACAGCAGCAGAACGTCCTCTTAGTTTGTGTTCCCTGACCTTCAGTCAGTGAAACACCATCCTGTGCGAGTGTGCTGGTTTAACACACGGGGGGGGCTATGGAGAAAAAGGATTATAAAATGACCAACACGCTATCAGAACATGGTATTTAAGGTTACCACACGCCGGACAGCTCGGGTTTCAACTGGCAGCCGCTCACACTAACCAGAACGGCAAACAGACATCGTCAGGAAACAATGATCATTAATATTTATGTCCATGCCTCAAACTTGTAAATCTATAAATTTAATAACATGTTGGAATAAAAGCCCAGAAGAACATGAAACCGTGAACATATACTTGTCATTGGCTTCTGACATGGAGTGTATTTTGTTTGGCAGACTAAACCTTTGGCTGAAAGACAGGACCCCCTGGAAGAGAAAGAAATAATGAAAACTGAGGACACAATAGAAAGCAGAGCTTTGGGTTTGTATATAAGCGCTGCACCAAGATGTAGACCATCACTAGTCAAAGGACCTACAGAAATCACATCCATGAAGACCTTTTAACTCTCACAGTTGCCAATATTGTTTGGTTTAAATTTGTACAGTTAGCTTCTTCTGAAGACATCAAAAGATGGCAGCTAGCACTAAAACACAGAAAAACAATGTTATTCATACAGCGCCCAATCACAGTCACCTCATGGTGTTTTATACTGTAAGGTCGACCCTACAATAACACATACAGAGAAAAACCCAACAATCATATGACCTCCTATGAGCAGCACTTTGGTGACAGTGGGAAGGAAAAACTCCCTTTTAACAGGAAGAAACCTCCCACAGAACCAGGCTCAGGGAGGGGCGGGGCCATCTGCGGCGAATGGCAGCTAACAACAACTACACAGCAAAGTCAGAAGGACAGCTAACTACACAAAGTCTAATGCAATCCAATGGAAGCAGGAAGTAGGATGGTAATGAGCGGCCACGTGCTAATATGTTTGGAAGGGTTGCCAGGAGAAAACCTCTTGTCTCTAAAGACAACGTGGTGGCACAGAGCAAGTCTGCAAAGATAATTCTGGACAAACCTCTGATCATCATGCACAGCAGCATGTTTGGAGACCCTGAAGCTGATGATTTGCATCATCTTCAGCTTCCTCTCTGTATGACATTTGTGTCATCCCACTGGAAAATCCTATATTTTCTTTACTTAACTTCCTCTCACACTGAATACACTGAATATTTGTTTTAAATAAATCCTTCATAATAAACAACAGAAAGATTTATCCATACTGAAACTGATGGTTTACTACAGCCACACTGAGTTACAGAGCCACACCGCTCTCGAGAGAACCTCATGAAACTCCGCCTATTCACTTATTCTCTCTGTAGTGGACACACAAATCACAAGAAAAGGTTTTCCCCCTCGGTTCTCAACAGGCTGTATCATTCAGGGTGTGAGATCTGCAGACACCTGTGTGGAGCTAAAGGTGTGTAGAAGGAATTAAGCCAAGGCTCAAGGTCATTCTGGAGCAGAGAATATGCATCTGCAGTTTAATGCCACTTTACTTTAGTGCTGATTCATGCAAACTGGCAAAAGCTGAAGGTTTTCTCATTTTCTGGAAACCAGCTGACTGAGAGACTCAAGTGTTGCATTACCAGTTTGAAAGCACAAAGACAGAACCAAGTCTTTTGCTGTGATCTGCTGTAGAGGATTACAGTCAGTATCCTGTATGAGAGCTGAGCAACAGCTGCTTGGTTTAGGAGTCTGACAGAAGTCTGTCCAGTCAGACATGTGGAAGTTATTTATCGCAGCTTCATGTTGTTGTGGTGATGATTATAAGCTGCAGTTATTATGCTTGATAGAAATAAGTCAGTTGATGGTTGCACTTCACAGCCTCCTGCCAACAATAATAAACAAACTCAATGAGAAGGCCTTCAAACATTTGGAAAACACTGTAAATGGACCAGCAAACGACTTTTCTGAAAGAACCCCGCGTCCTCCTGCATGCTCACTGAGGGGGTTAAAGGCAGCATGTGAAGGGGCCTTGGTGGGGCATGCTGAGAACAACACAATACAGAGAGTCTGGGTTTTGAAACCATTCAGAGAGCAGGTCTCCTCAGTGCAGATGTAACGACCAGAAGAGAAGTGGTAAAAGTCTGGTGCTTTTTAAGTTCTTCAGTCCAAATACAATAATTTCTTTCAACTTAAACTTCCAAGCCTCTGCTGGCCGTGGCTGCGTGTACAGAGAGGAAACTTTTTAGCTCACGTGACTTTCCTGGAATTGTGTCCCAGAGAAATTAAAGACAGCATGCTGTGAAGAAAACATGTTCTTGGTTCTGGTACATACAGTGTATATTAGCTGTGGGCGCAGTTCTTGCAAGACCAACTGAGTGAGCATTAGCTGACCTCACCATCAGTGTAATTTGCCCTGCCTGTGGTTCATGGGTAGAGCCCACATCGTGAGAGGAGAAGGAAAAGCTACGTTGTAATTTGTTCCCGAGGAACAAAAGCCGTACGGCAGCAGACCAAAACTTAAAGCTCATTAATCAGACACACTGCTGTGAACCTGAGGAGACAGCTGTGCAGAGCGAGACTGACGGCAGGGTGAGGCTGTCACGAGACAGGATCAGGTCCTGTGTTCAGTCTGGGAGCTGTGTGCCTACTCCAGCAGCTATTGTGCTTTCTTTCTGTCACACGTACACCGTTCCAGTAAAACAGGTTCACATTAAACACGTGTTCAAATAAGAGTTGTGCTTATGTGCAAGTGCTCCTTGTTAGTCTGCTCTAAAGTTTCATGCCATTTTTCTGTGTGATGTCACAGAGTAGCTATTTATTTCTCCGTCATGGTGAGAATCAGGTTACGGACTTAAGGTTCTTCTCTCCGGTTAGACTAAATGAAACTCTCATCATGCTTGTCAGAGACCTGACTGCTGTTTCAAAGCTCTACAATGATTTTTAATGGCATCTGTTGCAGGTAATTGGTTTGTACTTTGTAATAGGCTCTGAACTTTGACTCATATATAAAACTATACCAAGTTCCCATTTCTTTAATTTGAGGAATATTTCTAAATCGTGAGCTATATTCTCGTCCTCTGAGCTAGACAAAATTGTTCATCCATTTGTGTCATCGCACCTAGAGTGTATCAACGTGCAGATTTTACTTCTGATGCTTTACACTGGGGCTGGGTTTTGATGATCGATTCATCGATTAAAATCGATTCTGGCTTGGATAACGTGATATCGATTCATTAAAATCCTGATTTTTTAATATAAATGTATTTTGCCCAAACACCAGAATCTCAGGTGAAACCTCACAAAATATCAACAACCACCAAACATTTAAAACAGTCAATGAGAGCAGGAGCACGGACTCTGCACAGAGACGTGAACACACAGCTCGACCCGCCGACGGATCAGGATCAGTGAGCTGTGACTTTCTCACCGACGCCACGGACACGGTCGGGGCTGACAGCCGAGCAGCTCGCCGACTCTGATGTGTCGGCGGGTCGAGCTTTGTGTTCACGCCCTTTTTGTGCTGATTCTGAAGCTGTTAGTTTATCTCTCTCTAAACAACATTGATCCAAACTACGCTTCACATAAACATCGTCATGGACTCACTCTGACTTTTGCTGTTTTGCTTCCACCAGGATAAAATTCGCTTGCTTGTTACACACAAGTCTACGTTGTTTACAGGCTGTCGGCCAATGTTTTTCCTTTTACTTACTTCAGAAAAGAAAACCTCATTTCTGTTTCTAACTCCGTTAAATTTAATAAATTCTGTTTTCATGGATGTTAAACTTAATTGTTACACCTGGTAAAGCAGCAACGCTGATGATTTAATTAAAGATGAAAGAATTTAGACCGTTTTTAACTCTGTGTTCGTTTGACTTTGGGACCTGAAGCGGACGGAGTTTTGGACCCAGATTACTCCGCGAAGCTCCTCCCTACGGCAGCCGTAATGCTCTGACGAGCCATCAAAACATTTTTTAACAGATTTCTGCCCAAATCGGTTCGAGGTCAGTAAGCACAACCAGAATTCATACATAAGGCACACTCTCGATTTTTGAGAAAATTAAAGGATTTTAAGTGTGCCTTATAGTGTGGAAAATACGTTATACAGAAGAAAAGAATATATCGTGATATATATCGTTACAGCACATGCTTCAAATTATACCGCGATGTGGATTTTAGGCCATATCGCCCAGCCCTACATTTTATCACTTCATCATATTAGATACTTGTATCATTAAACTCTAATCGGTTCATTCAGGAGTTGAAATTTGCCCTGAAACACTGCACTCAAGAACAAACAGCTAAAATTTAAACTTACAACAAGAGACTGCATTTGGATTCAATAAAGAGCCATGAACTAAAACCCTGAAGTTTGGGCACAGCAGAGGCCTGCACAGCAGGGGCCTGCACAGCAGGGGCCTGCACAGCAGGGGCCTGCACAGCAGGGGCCTGCACAGCAGGGGCCCACTAGCAATGCTTGTCTCCTGTGTTTCTTACCAGAGTTCATGAACTTCCACAGCTGGTCGACCAGCGCTTCGTTACACAGAGCCGAGTCTGTTGTCTTGGTGAATGGTGGATTCTTACAGAGCATACCCAGGATCTTATGTCTGTAGGTCAAGAACAGAAACAGATTTAATAATTCTACATATCAGGTACTCGTGCTCATTCCCAAAATTCCTGAAACGTGCCTGCTGTAAGTTACGTTCAGGAGTACACTAGGCTGAATGGGACACATAAAACAAATGTAGAGGAAGAACTTAAGATTGTATTCACAGAGGGATGATGATCGTGAAATCAACAGAATTTAGGGATATATTAAGTCTGTTTTAAAAGCATCATTATTAGTGGCAAAGTTTCAGCCTTAACCCACTAGTTATGGAAGAGATATGACACACACAGACATATATGCATACATATGCTACACTCATAGTAACACATAATGATAACAACGTATAGCTCTAAACAAAATGAGCAAAAAGTGTCTTTCTCACTTGTGATGTGTGAATTCACAGCTTTGCTCTAAACAAAAACTTTACAGTCACTCTGTTCCCACAAGAAGCAGAGAAAATTCTGACTGGCTTTGTTGTTGTTGTTGTTGTTGTCCAGGGGCTAAAGGAACTACAACCTCAGATTTTTATTTATAGCACAAAGTTAACAAAAATCTCAAAATCCAGAAAAGGCAATTTTATGATATGACACCTTTAAGTAGAAGGAATTTTAAAGGTTTTTTTCACAGCCACAGATAGCCTGACTTTATTATCACGTCAGGCGCAGCAGCTGCTTCACTATCAACACTGACTCAATCTCTCATCATATAAAGAAACGCGACAACAAACACTCAAAGAGTGTGAGTTTGTTTCAAACATTTTAAGGTGAGGGTGTGAGAGAAATGAGGTGAGTGATGTCTGACCTGACATAGTGAACTGGGTCATTCTGAGCCATGCTGAGCAGCCACTGCAGCTCCGCTGAACTCCGCTCCACTGCAGCACAAACACTCAAAATCACACAGGAATCATATCTGTGCTCAGGCTGTGTCAACAACAACATTCAAATTTGCATTACTTAATAGTGTGTCCTTTACCATGCCTCTACATTACGTTCTTGTGCTTTGGTGCAATACACATAAAGGTAACGTCCATATTTGCACTGCTCAAAGGTTATGGATCACTAACATTTTCCAAACACGTCTTAAATGAACACTGAAGTCATTTTGTGTTTCACTGTGAACCATGGTGTTAAAGAGGAACAGTTTATTCATATAGCACCAATTCACAAAAACAGTCCTGCAATATTAGAGAGAAAACCTTAAACTAGCAGACGATCCACCAACAAATACGTCAGAGAGAAGCAGGCTGATCTGCACCAATCAGCTGTCTTATTGCTCTGTTTGACTAAGATGTGAAGAAACCCCGGTCATTCTTACAGCCTCAGTAGAAATGCTGACAGGGGACCACAGGTATCATACTGGTGCTGCCAAATGATTGGTTGCCCCCCAGCAAACGTGTATTATTCCTCCTACCTCTAGTGTAGTCCACCAGGGCTTCCAGTGCAGCGATGCGAAGGTCGACAAAGTGTCCGTACTGAGCGTAGGACTTAAAGAGCGACGGGTCACTTGGTATGTGGCCGTTCTTCTGAAGCTGACGGATCGCTCTCAGACAGCTAGAGACGACAGAGAGAAGGAGTGTGACAAGTTAACAGAGAGGATGCAAGCTTCTCTGTATCCAAGTAACACAAAACGCTCTTTTCTTTTGTTACACTGACGTTGGACTGCTTTGTGTCAGACACATGAGAACTATTCAGGCATGTAAAGATGAGTATGGACTTTCTGACATCCCCACACGATCTTGTTCTTTTTGCAGAGGGCTAAAAAGCTGCGTTTTGTATATTTCACTAACAACTTTGTGTTGTAGCGCTGAAACACAAGGACACACTCGGCGTGGTACCTGACAGTGATGGTGTTTCGGAAGCTTGGCAGCAACTTCTCCATATTTAGGAATCGTGTGATCTCCTCCAAGATGAGACGCACATCAGCATTTAAATTGTCCACCGTGCGCACTTCATTGTTGATGCTCATGGCGGGAGTCAGGGAGTTGGTAAGGGCCTCGATCAGATCTGCTCGGTAGTAGTTATCGGAAAACTGGAGAGGAGTGAAAGGATGGGAAAAAGGAGAATGATGAAGAATGTTTATGGATACATGGTTTGGAGGGGTTTGTGAGAGTCGCGTGTGATTAGATCAAATTCAAACGTAGCTGCTAATCATCTGTCTACAGTTTTGTTCTTTATCTTTTTTTTCTAGATGAATCTTTGACAAAAACACCGACCTCTTTATCTGTTCATATGTTGATATCAGTCAGCAGTTAGTTATTACATTTGGCTGAAAATCCCAAAATGGTCATCTCACAGCAGACACAACAGATGTACCAGACTTAGCTCCTCTTTATGCCCACTCACTCGACCAGTCAGCAGTGACAATGCAAACAAAGAGTAAACACATCACTATGACTGGATTTACCTTGTTTTTCCTGTTGTCGTTATACTTGATCAGATCGAGTATAAAGTTGAGGACGTCTTTGGGACAGATGTTCTGCCCATCTCGGAGTAACGCCATGGCAACCGGCATCGTCTGGCATGAGAAAGACAAAACAGGCGTCATGATAGCTTTATACTCGATGGGCTGTTCTACTGAAATCTGGAATGACATGTTAAGAAACGGCTCCTCTTTATAGCGGCTCACAAAATATATGATATTTCTAATTAACTTCTGCTCTGTTGTAGTTCAACACTGTGGATGATGAAGGTACTGATATGGAAACTGTTCATGACAGTCAGGCCTTCATTCACCATCACCTAAATCTGCTGGAGAGAC